CAAATGAGCAAAGCCCCCCAGGCAGCGGCTTTGCTCGGGTTTCCCTGGTCTGCTGGGGGGGTCCAGAGGCTTTACTGGACCCCTCCAGCAGACCAGGGAGACCGGGAGAAGCTTTTCTCGCCCCGGAGGACACGGGCGGCGACCTGCCACCCGTGAGCTCCGGGGCGAGAAAAGCCCCGTTCGTAAGTGCGGATCCGACATAAGTCGGATCCGCGTAAGTCGGAGACTGCCTGTACTTAGAAATGTGAGTTCTTTGTTCTATTTAAAAAGATTTTTATACTGTCCTTTGCATTTTGATAGAGCAGATCACAACAATATAATTGCAATCCTAAGATATAACTCTGTATTTAGCATTCACAGGAACCTCAGGATATAGGAAAATCAACTTCACACCTTTTGCTTTTGAGGGACATGTTTAAGGCTCCATGACATCTAAGAAATTACATGTTATGGATTAGCCAGCTCAACCTGAGAGACATACTGAAAAATGAATATCTGTTCTTCTGTCTGACAAGGAAAGAAAAACCTCAAATGGCATTGTGCATCTGTCTTCAAGTATGGGCAAAATTCTGCTTTACAATCGAAATAGTGGCTGCTAACTGAAGCAGAGCGGAGAATCTGCCTCACTATTCTCAGTGCATTGGCTTCTGCTGGTCCTGGGCTGTGGGGTAAATTTCACTCTCTTTGTGCAAGATTAATTCAGAGTTTTAAACCATGTTACCATTTCTGTGGGGTAGAGGAGGAACCAGTAACTACAGCATTCTGGGCATTCAGGGTGAAATCACCATGCACTCCAATATTCTGGTCTGCGTAGATGAACAGAATTCCCACCATTCTCTTGGGTATGTCTATGCTACATTCCTCTTTCGAGAGAGGAATGCAAATGCAGCTGAGCGAAATTGCAAATGAATCGCGGATTTGAATTTCCCGTGCTTCATTTGCATAATCGCATCTGGGTGCAATTTCAAAATACGCCTTTGCATAATCGCATCTGGGCGCAATTTCAAAATATGCCATTTTGAAAAAAGAAATGCTGTGTAGACAGGGTTATTTTGAAAGAAAACCCTTCTTTCAAAATAGCCCTTAAACTTCATTTTATAAGGAGTAAGGGTTGTTTTGAAAGAAGGGTTTTCTTTCGAAATAACCACGTCTACACAGAGTTTCTTTTTTCAAAATAGGGTATTTCGAAATAGCACCCCGACGTCATTATGCTAAAGAACCAGGGGAAATTCAGATCTGCACTTCATTTGCAATTGTGTTCCCCTCTCGAAAGAGGAATGCAGTTTAGACATACCCCTATATTTCTTCTTTCCTCTTGAACATAAGCTGTTAGTCTTCATTCCTTTCAGGCTCATTGCAAAATGACAGTATACTTTAGCAATGCATTTTTTTCAACAAAAAAGCAAATTTGGGGGTTGATAGAATTAATTAGGAATATTTTGTGCCAGTAAAACCTTCTCTTTTCTTTCAAGCATCAAACTTTTTCAGACTTCTTCTATTGCTATTATTTACTTTAAAAATAAATTATGACAAAGCTCATTTCAAGTAATACTTTGCAATCAGCAAATATTCCTATCTAGGAAACTCCTTCTGGGGAAATTTAATTAAATTTGTTGGTCCTTTTATGAAAGAGAGACTGGGGTATAACAAAACAAGCATTTGGTTTACTGAACATCTTCTAGGAAACTCCTTCTGGGGAAATTTAGATAAATTTTTTGGTCCTTGTATGAAAGAGAGACTGGGGTATAACTAAACAAGCATTTGGTTTACTGAAAATCCATCACAATATCAACAAAAATATTATCCTGAGCTCAACATTGGCTGATCTTAACTTTATTTTTAGAGACAACTTCAAAATGGGAATATTATCAGAGAGTGTGATTATAAACAATTCAGAATGACTGTTTCTTTTATAGTGAGTGAAATATACACAGTACACAATGCTTATGGAGTAGTGAATTCTAATGGTGCGTTTTCATGTCTATATTTTCACCTGGATTCAAAAGAAAAAATAATTGCCAATATATTAAAAATATTCAGTGATTTGTTAGTGATTTGTTAGAAGATCATTTTATTATTTTTACACTATGCAAAGGTCTGCACGGTGTCTTATTTATTGTTCTTTATTGCACTGAGCACATGGTTGTACTCACCAAATAAAGACTTACTATTAATATTCACCCAGGGTTCCAGGAAGCCTTCCTAGGCCCTAATGCACCACTTGATTACAAATTAAGTCTTAAAGGGATGGAATTTCACTCTTGTGTGGAATCTGTGTGTAATGCTTTAGAAAGAAAGAGCTTCTGTGTAGTCTGATAAATACACTGGTTCTCTGTTAAAATATTGTTTTTCTATATAATTGATCAGGAATAGTCAATATGGATTCAGCAAGGACAAGTCATGCCTGACCAACCGTATTGCATTCTGTGATGAGATAACTGGCTCTGTGAATATAGAGGAAAGCATTGGATGTGATTGATATACCATGATTTTATCAAAGCTTTTCATAGGCTGCCTCCAGACTGCATCCCTCTGTTGGCAGAGGGATGCAAATCAAGCACTTCGATAGTGCAAGTGAGCCCAGGATTTAAATAAATATCCCTGGCTTAATTTGCATACTCATGTTCAGGCGTTGTGCTGATCACGCGCCCTTTCAAAAGTGAAAGTGAAGTCTAGCCACGGCTTTGCTGACAGCGGTGAGCTTTTTCGGCAGATCTTGTACTCTTCATTTTTTGAAGAGTACAGGATCTGCCAAAAAAGCTCCCTGCCGTCGGCAGAGCTGCAGCTAAACTTTACTTTCACTTTAGAAAGGGCGCGTGATTGGCACAGCGCCCGAACGTGAGTATGCAAATTAAGCCCGAGATATTTAAATCCCAAACTCATTTGCATTTTTGAAGTGCCTAATCTACATCCCTCTGTCGACAGAGGAGTATAGTTTAGACACACCCATACAGTATTGTTGACATGTGATGTATTCTTTCCAGCACTAAAGAATTATGGCTGGACGAATTGACTATAAGGTGGCTAGAAAGCTGGCTAGATCATTGGGCTCAACAGGTAGTAAACAATGGTTTGATGTCTAATTGGCAGCCGGTAGCAAGCAGTGACGCCCAAGGGATCAGTTTTGGGGCCAGTTTTATTCAACATCTGGATAACAGGATGGACTGTACCCTCAACAAGTTCACAGATGACACTAAACTGCAGGGAGCGGTAGATGTGCTGGAGGGTACGAATAGCGTCCAGAGTGACTTGGACAACTTGGAGGATTGGTCCAAAAGTCATCTGATGAGATTAAACAAGGAGAAACACAGAGTCCTGCGTTTTAGGACCAAAGAATCCCATGCACTGTTAAGGCTGGAGACTGACTGGCTAGGTGGCAATTATGAGAAAAGGCTGAGGGAAAAAGGCTTATTGAGTCTTCAGAAGAGATGAATCAGAGGGGATTTGATGATAGCCTTCAGATACCTGAAAGGGGGTTATAAAGAGCCAGGCTGTTCTCATTGGTGGCAGATGACAGAGCAAGAGGCAATGGTCTAATGTTACAGTGAGAGAGGTATAGATTGGACAATTGGAAAAAAATATTTTGCTATGTGAGTGATGAAGCACTGGAATGGGTTAACTAGGGAGGTGGTGGAAGCTCCATAGTTTTTTAAGGCCAAGCTTGACAAAGTCCTGGCTGGAATGTTTTAATTGGCATTGGTCCTACTTTGAACAGGGGGTTGGACTAGATGACCTCCTAAGGTCTCTTCCCACTCTTATCTTCTATGATTTAGGAAGCCCTTCCAGGTTACCGGAAGCTCTTCTGAGCAAGGTATGAATATTCCGTATATGGATTCTGTATGTGTCTAACAAGAAAATCTAGGATTCCTTTTAATACTTACACAAATTTGCAGAGATACATAAACCTTTAGGATCATAGGAGATAGTCCTACTGTAAGTCTCCAACAGTAGTCAAAACAAGATACTTCTGATGATTGTATAGGAAGAAGCCAGATGTGTAGTAATCTAGT